AGAAGGCAGCTCATTTCCAGCAGTGGCTCGAGATATGTTACTAAGTGTAACCCCTTTGGTGATGCTTCTCATTTTGTCCCACTAATTTGACCACTGCCTTCCCTCCTCCAGCTGCTATCAGCAGCCTGTCTGTAGCTCATGACTCAGAGCTTAGAGACAGAATCCCCACGCTGCCGAACAATGCCTCCAGCCAGTGCCTGCTGGGTGGGGGGCGTTATCATTTTACTGATACCACATTTTTTAACTGACATCTCAGGCCTGGTGTATGTTATATTTTAAAGGAAGGGGGGAGACGAGATAGTTTCCACATTGCCGGGATATAGCATGCATTGCCCAAGAGGTCTTGTGGGTGGTATTCCTCTTAACAAGCAACTTGCCATGTTGCAAGGGGGACGAGGGTCCTGGGGGTGGGAAAGTGAGACAGGGACATCCCAGGCTGTTGCATAATAACATATAGGCACCCTGGGAATACTCCTGGATGTGTGGGCTTCTGAAAAGTGAACGCAAACGCCACCATAAATCTGACACCCCCTCACATGGGTGGGGGTGGTACCAAACCCAGGGAAAACATTCGCCTACTAAATGGTCAGTGCCAAAAAATAGAAAAAGGAGAGAAGGAAGGAAGTCCCTCAGATGGGGAGGCAGAGTGCAGAGTAGAAAAGGCAAAGGCTCTCCACTTCATCTGGAGAGAGGATCCCCTTCTCTATGAGCTGTGTGACCTTGGGCAAGTTAAGACATCACTGTAGGTCTAAGATCCCGCGTCTGGATACCAGAGACCTCACATCGGTTCACATTATACAAAGGTGCACGACACCTCATGGGTATCGATAAATAGTGGTTGTTGCTGATACACACAAACATACTCCCCAGCTCCTCCCCCCACCCCCGCCCCACACACACACTGAGAAAAGTAATAGTTAATGTGCATCAAGCAGGTCTAACTTGCTAAGAATAGGGCTAAAACTCATAGTATCTTATGACAACAATTTTTGGTCAGGATTCTAAGTGACAACAGAAACCAACTTGGCTAACTTAAGCAAAACAAGCAAACAAGCACACTCTATTCAGAGAACATTGGATACTTATGGAAGACTCTCTGGGAGGGCTGGAGAGCTAGCCTTGCAGGCTCTGAAGCCCAATTTCAAGCTCAAGATGAGGTCCGATGACTGGTCTTGCGAAGACATCTCAGAGCTGCTGTTACACACAGAACCTTCAGCCCTAATGCTGGATGCTGTCATTGGTACTTTGGAAATGCAGGGGGTGTGGCCACTGCCACCATCTTTTATCAAAATGGTTTCTGTAGGGTCACTCTGTCTTCTGATTCAAAGTCTTGGGTTGGTGTCTGATTGGGGGTCAGGAGGAGAGTGCAAGTCTTGTGCCCACACTCAGCTACAAGGGGGGCTGGGAGATGCTTGTGTTTTCAACTTTGGTCTTGGTGGTTGGACTCTGCCTCATTATCATTACAACAAAGAGTTCTTTTCTAAACCTAGGGAAGGGAGTCAAATAAGAACTATCTACAAATTGGTAAATAACTGCCACAGTTGAGTCCCAGGATTTTTACCATTTTCTGGATGAGAACATTGAAGCTTAGCCAAGGCCCCATGTCTAAACTATGGAATGAACCAAGCCAGTCTCACTCAAGCCAGTTCTGTGGGCCACTATCTTGACCACTGTCTTGACAAATGTAATGATGCGAACAATGTCCACCTTGGCAAAGCCTCCCACGCTCCAGCCCCCTTTCTCTGACTCATTAGAGCTGCATCTCTGGGGAGCCAAAGATGCATGTCAATTCTTGCGCTGCTTTTCTTAAAGGAATATGGTTTTCTAGATGAAAGCTGTGGAGTTTGTTCTTGGAATATAGTTCCTGGGAGCTGAGATCTCTGGGTAGATAGATCCCTTTTCTTCTTGGGATGCCCTGTGTCTCTGTGAGTTTCTCTAATAGTAAATGGTGAGGGCGGGGGGCATAGTGGAGGTTTTTCCTATAGCACAAGCCACACTCAATATAGAGGGGCAACAGGGAACCTTCCCTGGACACCACCCACACTCGACAGTTTTGTATGCCCTTCCGTTATGTACCCCATGAACTGTCCTGCAGCACTATGTTCCCCATTCACCCCGGGAGCCCCACAAGACCAAGAGCTACTGTTTTGCAAGTAGTTTACCACCATGAGCTCTGGAGTCAGGCTCTCTGGGTTTGAGTCCCCAGTTCTACCATTTAACTGCCTCTCCTTAGTTCACTTCCCCGTGCCTCAACTTCCTCTTTTGTAAAAGCAGGACACTAATGGAATTGTTATGAGAGTCAGTTTATAAATATGGTTGATATATAATAGACTAGAGGCCTGATGCACAAAATTTGTGTAAGAGTAGGCCTTCCTTCTCCTGGCTGCCGGCACCAGCTTCCCTCTGGCATCCGGGACCCGGGCTTCCCTCCAGCACCCAGGACCCGGGCTTCCCTCACAGCCCCGGCTTCGTCCAGAAGGTCGTCTGGAAGGACGTCCAGTCTAATTAGCATATTATGTTTTTATTATTATAGATGTTCAATAAATATCATCCATCAGCAGCAGAATAGGCGGAATCTAGTAGAAAATGTCAGTATAAAAATGGATCTATTAGGGTCCAAATCTCATTCTCTTACAAACTTTCTCATCATCACGCCTTTCCTCTGAAGCATTTCCATTAATGCCGTGTGCAAATCATTGATCTAGTCCACACCAGCTATTTTGTCCAAAGTATAGGCGGGGAAGTGAGGCCCAAGGAGGTATGGCAAGCTGGGGCTGGACTCGCTGACAAGTGCTATTTCTAACAGAGGTTCCCAGGCCCCACCACTGTATGCTTACAATTCGGTTCTTTTTCTGAGAAATGATGAACCATGTCCTAATTTTCACTTCCTCTCTGCACCAGACTCCCACCACCAAGAGCATCAAAGACTCCAAATCCATAGACCAGGGGTCAGCAGATGTGGTCTGTAAAGGGCTGGATAGTAAATAGTGTAGGCCTTTTGGCCCATAGGTCTCTGTTGCAACCACCAAATTCTGCTGCTGTAGCAGGAAAGCACAGCAGACAATATGTAAAGGAAGGGTGTGCTGTGTTCCAGTAAGGCTTTATTTACACATGTAAGCAGTGGGCCGACTTTGGCCCATGGAAAGTATTGTGCAGACCCTTTCCATGGACAAGAAGCTTCTCCTGTAAGGGCTACTTATTTTTGTTTATGGTTGCCTAGTGCTCAAGCAACATAGAACATGATGTCAGAACCCAAGCATCCCTTTAGGGTACCATATCCTACCTTCCCACATCCTACCTTTCTCCCAGAAGCACTTGAATCACATGCCAACTTAGTGCAAGTAAAATAGGTAGCTACTTCCCAGCATGATCTGAGAGTCATGTTGGGTGTCATGAGGATGACAGCAAAGGTGAGGGTTTGGTTAGGGTAGAGCTTGTGACTATGAGAAATAATAATCACACCCCTTGAAAATCACACAACAGAAGAGCAGTCAAGACTCTTAAAAACCACCTCACTCAATCCTTTCAAGTTACAGAAGGTAAACTGAGGCCCAGGCTAAGGAAGCAATTTGGTCAGCATTATCCAGCAAGTTCTCACCGCAGCTAGGACCAGAGCCTGGTTTTCTTCATTTTAGTCCAAGGCTCTTTCCACCCCACCACTCGGCTAATATCAGGTTTTTATACAGACCGACAAACTGAAACCAATGGAGGAGAAGGAAAAAAACAAACCACCTTCTGCCATTTAAAAACACAAGGTCTTGCCTAGAAACTCTCCTGTCCTCCCTCCCTCCACATCTTTCCTTCCTTCTATCCACAAGCAGTAGTGGGACCCCCCTATGGTGCTGCTAGGCCCCTACTTGGTGCCAAGGAGATAGTAGGTGCTCAATAAATGTGTGCTGCGACTGGAATAAAAGGTAACTTATATTATTTACCTCAGGGAGCTCACAATTTACCAGGAGAAGGTCGAAATGCACCGGAATGCACTGCAACTGTGAGGACCCCATGACATTTCCTCCCCTTTCGTCCTAGAAAATTGCCTTTCAGTGAGAAATCTTCCCAGCACTGTTTCCATTCCCCCCACAGCTGCCCCTGCCCTCCTCAGATAGAGCACCTCTGTCTTTTGTACTTGCAAATGATTTGTGATTAGTTTTCACCTCCAGCCCAGGGGATTAGCCTGGGGACCTTTGATCTTCAGGTATCGATTTGCATCTTAAAGGAAGTATGATCTCATCTGGGCCAGCTCAAAATTCCATCCCTGCCCCCCAACCCCTGTCTGTTTACCAGCCCCGGGCTGGCCAGGGCCTCCCAAGTGGGGCTGAAACAACAAGATCAGCCAGACTCCAAGAGGAGGCCTAGGGAAGGTGGGAAAAGGACCTTTGCTTTCTAAACACAGGCTGGTCTGCTGTTCCCTCTTCCTTGAGTCAGAAAAATGCCCAAGGTTGGGAATGTGCTGGGGGGGAGAGGGTGGGGGAAAGGGGCTGGTGGTCCCTGGATCCTAGAGGGAGGTTGTGTAGCCAAATGGACTGAGCACATGCCTAAGAATCAGACAAAATGAGGTCCAAGTCCTGGTTTTGTCTCAAATCACTCCCGACCTGTATGATTCTGGGCAAGGTTTATAAACTCTCTGGCTTTTGATGTTTCTCATCTCTACAGTAGGAATAAAAGCCTTAAAAATCTATACTACTAACCATCCTGGACAGCTGGTGTGAAGAAGAGCAATACTGTGTGTAAGGTGAAGTTAGGTCAACAGAGTTCCCAGTCACCTCTGTCCTCTATGAGAACTTACGCGACCCAGGGCAGGGATGTACTTGCCCTTTGTTTCCACTGCTGTATTTCCTGGTGCCTAAAACAGTGCCTGGCCCATAGGAGGCACTCAATACATATCTGCAATATAAGGGAGTGAAACTTCATTCAGTCGCAACTATTGCCGTTATTGTAACTGGTCAAGGATTCCTCACTGTTCCTCCCTAGCCAGGCCCAGGGAAATGACAAAGACTTACCAATGCAATTGAAGGAAACTTCCTGTCGGCAGAACAGGGAGCAGCCATCACCATTGATCTTATTCATGTCATCGCATTCTTCACCTTGGCCTCTGCAGAACACATAGGAGAGGAAGGGATCTCATCAGCTTCAAAACTACAGCAGGATGTGGATGTGGCAAAGTCCCCTGCAACCCAGGCCTCAGGCAAGTCCCTTTCCCTGTGTAAGTCTGTTTCTTCATCATCAAGATGAGATGCTTAAAAGGGGTACATCTGTCGGATCCCATGCCATTTGCCTTATTTTTTGTTTCTGATGACAACAGAATTTCTGTTTCAAACACATTCTCTGAGATCTCAATCAGCTAAGTCAGCAAGTCAGATGGGAGTAAGATATGGATGAATGAATGAACAAATGAATGAACAGACCTTGCTGCACTGTGTCCAGAAAATGTCACTGCCACTTTAAAACGATGGATTTAAAGAACATTTTGGCATTTCTAAAATATAAATGCTGTCTTCACTATGCCCCGTGTCCACCCTCTCCCCACTTTCCCAATGCTCTTAAAGGTCAAGATTTTTTTTTCCCTTCACATGCTCAAGCTGGGTTTTCCTTTTATCAGAAAATTTTGCCTTCTCCATAGGTGTGTTGTCTGCTGGCATCAAGAATGCCTAGGCCTGTGGAACTAACTATGCTTCTAGGAAATAAAAATGCCTCCTCTTGTTTATTTTAGGAATTGTTTTCACCACCTGAGGATGATTCTGCAGAGGTTAGGATGGAAAGAAAATGAGCAATGCTCTTGGAATTGGACCTAGGAGAAAAGAGAGGAATAATAACGAAGAGATTCAATGAACTGGAGGAATAAAAACGGAAAGATTCAATGAACTGCTGATTTAAAAAAAAATTCCCATCCTCTGAGAAATAGAAATCTTGGGTTTTGATCCCTATGGTCCAAACTGGCTGTGTGATCTCCAACAAGTCACTGGATCTGTCTGATCCTTCTATCTTGGACAATGTGAACCAATGAACATGCAAAATAACTGAAAATGCTCTGGCTCAGTCACAGTCGCTATGTTTTGAGTCCTTAGTAGCTGGATGTAGCTAGTGGTTACTGTGTTGGACAGCACAGAAGAGATTTCCATCATTGCAAAAAAATCCACTGGAAGGTACTATTCTAGATGCCGATGCTCCATTTTCTCACTGGTTAAAATGGAGGTAATTATACTTACTCCTTAGAGTGCGTGTAAGAATGAGATGTGATGGCAAGTGATTGGCACGGTGTGTGACACACAGTAGATGCTCAGGGGATCATAGCCCGTTCCCACTCTGTCCTGGGAGGTCTCTGCAAAGTGTGTGGCAGCTGTCCCTCCCTCCCTCCCTGGAGACCAGCTGGGCCCTATCACAGCATGAAGGAGTCCTCAGACTTCTGCCTTCACCGGGGCAATTAATACTGGGAAATGTTTGTTGCTTTTAAGAGGTGTCAGCGTAGCAGGATGGTGCCTTGTAATCAATCCTGAAGATGGCCAGGGCATTGCACTGATTTCCAAAGAGCCACCGAGGCTCTCTCCTGTCTGCACACCCAGGAGCAAAGCAGCAGCCCAAATCCCAAGCCGGGCCCCTGTTCCAATCTCCGCCACGGAGTCTCGCATGTTGGAAACTGGGGATGGCCTTGTGCTCCTTAGCTATTTCATGGGTTATCTGGGGAGATATTTTTTTTTAAAACCTGGGCTGGGTTCCCTAAGCCACAAAGAATACTTCTCAACCGCCTTCCCTCACCACCCAAACAGTGTGTTCTATTGGTTTAAGCATAAAATTAGGGTCACCACAAATATCTTCTAGGCATGAAAGATCTATCATTAGATAGAGAAGTTCTGAAAAACCTTCCCTGACCTCACAGGCTGGAGTGGGAGGCTGTCTTCTCTGTGACCAACGACACCAGGCTCAATCTATCACAGCGCTTGTCACACTGTCTGCCCTGTCCTTTCACTTGAGAGGCCCCTATCCTCGGCTTTAAGATGCCAAAGGAAGCGCAGTCTTTGTCATCCTAGCACCCCGATGCCTGGCACTGTGCCTTGGACATAGCAGAAAGCATGTAGCTACTCCTTTACTTGTTAGTTTTGCACAATTGTTGGTCACGCAACAAGGCAATGGTGAATCCACATGAAAACCTGGGCCCTGGTTCATGTCTTGGTTCTGCTCCTTACTGGCTCTATACGGCAGAGAAAACCACTTTAATCTTTGTGTGTTAGTCGTCTCTTTCGTAAAGTATAGTAAAAGGATCTATGTAATATGGTTGTTGGAAGAACCCAAGGAGATGGCTAAGTAGCACAGTGCCTCGTGCATAGTAGAGGCTCAGCTAATGTTTATGAATATTATTATCATTGTCATGATATTCATCCAGTGTTTTCAACCATTTTCTTACACACACACACACACACACACACACACAGCAAATAACATGTATCATCCCCTGAAAAATCCAATTAGTTAAGATGCCATCCCTCCTTTACTTGAAAGTTGTGGTTTTTGTGTGTTTGTTGGTTTTGCTTAGGAAACTGTTCATGTTCACTAGCTCTGTTCAGTTTCTACAAAACCTGTCAATAATTATTAGGTAACTGCAGGTAACTCAACACGTACTTGATGTCTATGCAGGATACCAATTCTAGGTAAAAACACTAAAAAACGCTGTTAAGAATATTCTTTAAATGAATACTACAACAATCCATTTCTAGATCAGCTGGAAGAATGCCATTGTTTGCAGTGTTTTACCAATGCGTCTATAGTGGGCTCCGAAATGGAGAGACTGAGTTGGAGATCTGATTCCACATCAAGCGAGTTTCCTTTTTTATTCTTTGTGCTAAATTAGAAAATCCCAAATCACAATTATGGGTTTGCAGCAATGACCGCAAGTGTTTGCTGGAGATTCTGGATCTGCTGCTCTATCCTGGACCCACAAATGATGGGGCACTTTCCCCGGGGACCGCCTTGCGCAGCTGCTCAGCGTTCCACTGGACAGCATGTGCACCAGAGCTGGAGCCTGATGTCTTAAGACGGGAGAGAACAGCGATGGCTCCCCTGCCCTATTTTAGTGCATCAAGCACTGGAAACCCTATCTTCATGCCTGGTGGTTGCATCTGGGTGTGGACCTTAAACACATCCTTGGACACATGTGGAGCTTTATCTTTTACGCTTAAAGAGTCCAATTCTTGGCAATCAGGCGGTCTGCACCTTAATTCAATACCGAAGACTCCTTATATCCATAGATATTCCTGAGACATAGCACTCAGCAAACCACTGGAAATCGTGTAAAGCAGTGGTTCTCAACCTTGGCTGCACATTAGAATCACTGGAGGGAAATTCTGTTTCTTTGTTACTAATGATGAGGCCCAGAAATCAGGATTTTAACAAGATTCCCAGGTGATTCTAATGTGCAGCCAAGGTTGAGAACCACTGGTGTAAAGAATCACTACTGGCCTTATCAGTGTCAACATTTGTTTTAATATGTCATCCCTTCTTTCAAAAACTTGCATTAGCACCTTCCTTGTGACAGCCAGTACGCTTCAGTGTGTTGAGCTGTGTGGGGCACAAAATCTTGCTCACATGAGCATCTTTTTGCACATTAAGATGAAAAGGTGTACCTCACTGCCCGCCTCTGATCTTATTCACAGCATTCACTATTCCCTTCAATGCTGCCCTAGGCCCTTGCTGGCCAATAACTGAGGTCTGTGTGGAGGGCTATTCATGTGCAAACTCTTTACTTGCATAACTGTGTCAATCTTGCTGTGCTCCAAGCCGGTCCTTTCATCCCGCTGCAGGTTTCCAGTTCACATTACATACTATGAAATCCTCAGTGCCAAATTCAATTGCTCTGCCCCTCCAGCACTGGTGTCAATGATGAACTGAAGGAAATAGCCATCCAGCGCTTCTCTTTCGTATGTGTGCTACGCCTATGAGCGGATGCACGTTCTGCACATCAGTGGCTTCATTCAACTGTGAAATAAATTCTTTACAGCCCCTCCCCCTGCAGAAACAGTCATTGCAGTTGCATGTCGCACAGATATTATGGGACACCCAGCAGTGCCATTTAATGAAGGAATTTTGCCGATAGCTTGTTTTGCCATCTCCACACATAATGTGTATCATTAAATCTGCCAATAGTTTTTTAAAATATACTTTTATTGACTTCAGAGAGGAAAAGAGAGGGAAAGAGAGAAACATCAATGATGAGAGAGAACCATTGATCAGCTGCCTCCTGCACATCCCACACTGGGGATCAAGTCTGCAACCCAGGCATGTGCCCTGACTGGGAATTGAACTGTGACTTCCTGGTTCATAGGTCAACGCTCAACCACTGAGCTATGCTGGCCGGGCATATTTGCCATACTTTTAAGAGTATTAGCAAGAGTGTGATTTGCAACTAGGTTAGCAATAGAAAATACAATTTTACCAGTAAGGAAGTTAATTGTCAATGCTTTTTGGTCTCTTCTCCACTCCTAGAGACAAACCTATTTGATTTTGTGCTAGAAAAACATTTTTTGGTACTTTTTCTGAAGGAAAAAACTCAAAGGTTTACTTTTTTAAAAACAATGCAAAAGTCTTGATAGCTTCCTGCCCCTATTTTGTGGTTGCATAACATCTTGCCCGTGGACAAGGGCAAGGATGGCCTGATATCCAATTAAATCCATGTTTTAGACATCCAGCTTTGTATTTTCTGATCACACTTTTCCTCTTTGGCTGCTGGTGGGGAATCTTTACACTTACTACTTTGCCTCCATGTACTCGGTACATATGCTCACATTCAGTGTTCACTCTGGAGTACTGTCCTGGATTTATGGTTTCAACATTACAGTGAGTTGGAATATTTTGGTATTTTGGGGGGGCCTTTGACCCCTTTTGTAAAGTGTTGATATAATACAATGCAACAGAATAACAAATAAATATGCAATTTTAACAGATGTAACTGGTAACCAGCAAAAAATGTAAAAGTGCTTTGACCCAGATGCACTGTGACCTGCTAGCTCAATGTGGGCTGGGATGGGAGAGAATATAAGAATCCCTGTGGCATGCATCTGTCCACTAAGGACAAGAGCATACTGGCAGTCAGTGCATGATGGCCGCTCTGTCAAAATTACAGATCAATTGCATACTTGAGAAATGTATGTGCTCCAAAACGTATCATTATTTTTCTTCTGAGAGTAGCAAACCGCTGCAGACAAACGGATAGGCTGCTGGGGATCGAAGCTAACTCGCAGCTCACACATAGAAGAGCACCTGTAAGTTCTTCTGTTCAGCATCCTGAGCATCTCTGGGCCTAATGAGCACCACCCTTCCCCTTTCTTTAGTGAGATCTACTTACTTCTGGATGATGCCGTCGCCACAGTACCCACTTCCATGGGTGTATACAGCAGCAGGCGATGGCTCGCCTTCCTCACTTCCGGAAATGGTGATGACCCAGTACTGGTACACACTGCCGAGGCTGAGGTCCCTGGAAAATGCACAGACGACGATGAGCTATACAGACACAGTGTGGGGAGGGGGACAGACAACACCAACCCCCGTGCGTACATTCTAATTCTTGCTTATTTTTTGAAATACATGCACATTCCGTTATCCAGTATTTTTTATTGTCTGCTGTGGTGAAGGCATTCTTCCACTCATGATGGGTTACACTAAAATGCACAGCAACAATAATGAGCATCAGTGGACAGATGCCCATGAATATTACTAGATATTTTTTGTTGTTGAGCTAACCTTTACAATAACCCGGGTGGGTAAGAATCAGAGGGTGTGTATAATGAACATGTGGGAAACTGCCATCCAGGAAAAGTCAATGGGATAAGCAAAGGCCTACAGAGGCGGGAAAAGACAACGCCAGAGGTGGGCATTGTCTGATCCTTCTGCACTATTCTGAGATATGAGCAGAAACGCATTACAGGCGCATCAGTCCTTTCCTTATAATTCTCTCCCTCCCGCCTCCCTATGTCGCTCACTCCTGACCAAAATAATAACGATTATCACGGCATCCATTAATGGAATGTCAGGCCTGGGGCTAAGCGCTTTCCACATATTTTCTCATTTGAGAATCAAAACCACCTTATATGTGCTGTAGTATTTTCATCTTCATTTTACATATAAATGATGAATCTGAGGCATAGAGAGGTTAGGCATCCCACTTACAAGTACATGTCATTACATGACATCCGTGTTCTGCTTCTGTAATCCCTAGCTCAGGCCTGTTTGAATAATCTCATCCCTTGCAAGGAGGGATCCCGACTAGGCATTGGCATTCCAAGCACTGGTTTCTGCCAGATTTCCAACTGCCCTCCATTGCATCTCTCCTCTGTTCTCAACGCCTCCTAGTTCAAGGCCTATTTTGACGTCCTCATACTCACCCTCACACCAGATCACCTCCCTCCCTTAGCCCTTGAGACTTCCCGCTTGAATTCATCCTGCCATCAAAAGATCCTGGCTACTGTCAGTTATCCTCTGAGGCACAGACATATTGACATCAATTCCACATGAACAAATCCCCATCCCCATCTCCTCCTCCACCACTGTCAAAGGAAGATGTTATTCCTTTCTTTCATTTCCCTCAGCATCAATTATTTACTTATTAGTAATAACAATGTGCCATGGGGGGAAACACACACACACAAAATGATAATGAAGAGAATTCCTATCAGATTCCAGAGTTGGGGGGGATTTCATAAACAAGAAGGCGATGTTAAAAAATCACAAGTTCTCCTGCCCACCTGTTGTTTCAGCTGTTGTTAGGGTTGGAGCTGCTTGGATAAGGCCAGCGAGATAACAGGTGTAGGGGAAATGGACGGACAATGTCTCCTGACTCACAACACAACAACGATGAGCTGGAGTGTATGAGCATTAAAACCTGTGGCGAGGAACATAGCCTTCCTAAGAATGTTGAGCTTATCATCTGAAAGAGAACTTGTGTTAGCAGTGCTGGAGCAGACAGTAATATTGTGGGTAGACCAGAAGTCCCTGGGGATTCCATTAGTATTCTGTCAATGAAGACTAAGCAGGTGCAATGCGTAAAGATCCTGAGCTATTTTATGGGTGAGTGTATAAGTAACTGTTGCCTTGTAAACCTCTGGCATGCTAAATTGTCGATATAATTATATACTTCCTTTTTTCTTTTAGTTTATTCAATATTTTATCCACCTTTACACTAGTGAATGTATACTTCTTCTGATGCTGCTTCTAAAACTGGAATAGTGTGCTGGGAGAAAGATGGTTTTTCCCAGGGAATACATGAAGGCACAACATAAAAATGACATACATTCTACAGTACCTTCATTCATTTTGCTCTAAAACAGCGGTTCTCACCTGTGGGTCGCAACCCCTTTGGCGGTCGAATGACCCTTTCACAGGGGTCGCCTAAGACCATCCTGCATATCAGATATTTACATTACAATTCATAACAGTAGCAACATTACAGTTATGAAGTAGCAACGAAAATAATTTTATGGTTGGGTCACAACATGAGGAACTGTATTTAAAGGGCCAGAAGGTTGAGAACCACTGCTCTAAAATATGGAGGCCCATTTTATATTAAGCAAATATAACCATGTTACGGTATACATTTTCTTTGTGCTACATCTCAGGCCACTGGGGGCACATGGTCACTCTCTGAAGCAAATGGGACCCTTCTGTGAAAATGGGACATGTGAGTGTGAAAAGCACTTCTCGACACTGTGTTGCATTTGGAGGTGGGTGTCACAAATGATTTATGGCTGATAATATTCAAGACACTGCAATAACATTTGTTAATGTCTTCCTCCTCCCCTCTTCCTCCTCCTTCTCAATAAATACGACTCTCAGGCAGGCGAATGTGTGTCCATCCTCACTTCATCATCTACTCCTGTGTCACAGGCAGGAGTTTCTCTGCTCCGAGCCTACTTCACATTAGTCACAGTGTTTTCTGTGACTATGAGAACACATATAAAGCACATATGTGCTCTGCCTATGATAAAGTTAACATATGTTAACCCATGACTGTTAATTATCCACATTCTCATTCACTGGAGTTCCGCTGTATTTTCTTTACTAGACGGGATGGATGGAAAGGTAACTACCTATAACCTTGGTTATTAGGTAAACCCATGAAGATGGGGCCATCATCTATCACATGTTTCATAGTTTGATGGATAGTCTGTCATGTCATTTGGCTAGAACACCCTCAGTGCCTGCCTGCAGCTTGCTTTCTCTTCAGGTGGTGATTTCAACGTCTGAAAATTCTGGATCCCAGGTTTGTCAAATTTTTCCCTGGGCCAAAATCTGTCTCCCAGTAACTTCCATCCACGGTCCTCCTCCTTACCCACTAGCATTACATGGCACACGTGAGTGGTAGAGAAACCTGAATAACCTTCCTTCTTCCAACAGCGCACGCATGGCTCATGTTTCACTATCTCACAGAAGCCTGGGGTTGTTTTCAGAGAGGAACATAGAAGCCTAGGCCACTCCTTTCATAAAAAGGTAGGGAGGGGGTATCAGGGTACAACTTGTTAAAGAGATTATGTTCTCCCACTGAAGAAGTCTTGTGATAAAATGACATTTTCTCCAAGTTAAAGTCAAAATGATCTCTTCCCAGCCACACACCCTTCCCCACACAACCCATGGACATAGACAATAGGATGGTGAAAGCCTGGAGTGGGGGGGGGGGGCGGAGCGGGGGAGAGCTAGAAGTCATTGTGGGGGAAAAAGGGGACATGTAATACTTTCAACAATAAAGATTTTTTTAAAAAGTCAAAATGAATGCTGGACAAGGTCTCTTTTCTCAGGGATCCAGGTAGAACAGAATTCTCTCAGGACCAGCTCATGGCTTCTGAAGGCTTTGCTGGAGGTTAGGATCTATTTCATAGTTGGTTGAAAAGTAGGACGTTTATTTCAAGTTGTTCCTTTCAGCTGCTCCTAAAACCATCTGGAAAGTCTTACACTGTCACTCGAACTCCTTTCCCTCCATGCCTCCCACACCCAGGCAGACCCCAGGCCTTGTCAATTCTTCCCACCCACAGCTTCTACTAGTATGTCATCCCCTCTGCATCCCAGCCGCCTCCAACATGTCAACCTTGATGGCTGCAGCAGCTGCTGGCTTGCCCTCCTGCCTCTATGGCTCCCTTTTCTGGTCTTGCCAACACCATGAGAATATCTTGATCCAAAGCCACCCTCCAACCCCAAATCTTCTCATTTGGTGATGGGATCAGCAAGCCGGAAACTCCCTGCCAGTACTGTTTGGAGCTAAAATTTTACCACTTCACCTGAAACATGATTATTATTATCATTTCTGATTTCTTTCACAGGATTCGGAGTGCCATTTTAAATTTACTGCATGAACATGCCACACTTTATTTGGCCATTCGTCTCTTGATAGATACCTAGGTTGTTTCTATTATTGCTATCATTATCATTTAATCATTTGGGTTGTGACTCTTATTGTTTTGTTTATGCTGCTTTATAGAGTAGAATTTTAAATCATTTTCCTTCATGATTTGTGCTTTTCATGTCTTGTTGAATTAATGTTTCTTCACTCGAAGGTCGTAAAATAGTCTCCTCTATTTCCTTTGAATAGTTTTAAGGTATTTATTTTCACATGTATGGCTTCAATAATGTGCAATGTAGTTTTTAAAATGATGTAAGTTAGGATTATTCTCCCCTTTCCCCTCCACCTTGCCCCCTCCAGATATGGATGAACCATTTGCCCAGCATTACGTCTGGAGTACTTAATTCTTTCACTACCGAGTTTTAACGCCTCCCTCGCCATATGTCACTCAGGATTTAGACAGGTTTGTTTATGGCTCATCTTGGTTCATTGGTCAATTTTTTTTAAATTGTATCCATCACAGTCTATTTTAACTTCCATACTTTTACAGAAGTTGAAGTCTTGATTTATACTACAGATCTATGCTAAGGAGACCTCTTTGCTCTTTCATGTGAATTTTAAGTTTCATTTTTAAACTGCCTGTTAAGATTATGATTCTAATTTCATTGACTTTATAGATGTATTTGAAGAGAAAAGAGATCTTTGTCCCACTGCATGCTCCCATTTATACACACACTTTATTTTTTTATTTATTTAGGTCATCATTTACGGTTCCAGTAAAGTTTAAAGCTTTCTTCATAAAACTTGTGATGATTTTTTTATTAGGAAATATATTCCTGACTCTAAGCATTTTATAGATGTCAGTGCTGTCGTAAATGGTAGCTTGAATCTGTCTACATATCTAGCTATCTGCACACATACATGCATGTACAGTATATATTTGTACTATCATATTTTGGGGCTGATAAAAGTAATTGAGTTTTATAAATGGATATTCTACTTAGAAGTCCTCATAGACTGTTTTATTAGGTCTAAGAATTTGTTGATTTTTATTACTGTTACTATGTAGTCTGTTACAGAGGAGAAGAATGATAGTTTCTTTTCAATTCTCAGATTTTTTGTTTATATTTCTTGTCCACCCAGTTGCC